TCGTACTCAATATACTCTGACTTACTTTTACTTATTCTTAAACCCTTTTCATCAAGAGCTGATCTCCAAACCTCTAGCCTTTGATTAATTTCTCCCTATTTTCTCCTATTAACACTATATTGATATGATTCAAAAGCTTTATGCCTCTATAATTTCCACACTCTTATATGTCACCTTTACCTTTAAATATTGACACCACAATACTATTCCTCCATTAATTTGGAATTTTCCCTTCTAATAAGATTTTATTTAAAAGTTCCATCAACCACCTTATGCAACACTGCCTAATATTTTCTATACTTCTACTGGCACTTCATCTGGTCTAACTGCTTTATTCTTTTTCATTGATGCCTCAGCCTCCTATACCTCTTTCTCACTAATTAAATCTACCAGTCCCTCATTCCACAAGATATCGTCTAATGTCTCTTTTGGGTACTCCTCATTCAGTAATTTTTCAAAATATTCTTTCCATCTTTTTATCACATCATCATCATTCGAGAGTACCTTATTATCAACACTTTTTATACACCTTATAAAATTATAATCTTTAGATCATTTCTCTCTTACTTTTGCAAGTCTATAGATTTCTTTCTCGCCTTCCTTTGTTCCTACCCTATCATACCTCTTTAACATCGCCTAACTTACTGTACACTTGGCATTTTTGCACAAGAAAAGAAGTTAAAAAGAAAATTTTATACTCCGTTCAATCTTCTTTCCTTTTGTTGCTCTTCTGCTATAATTTTAATTGTTTTTTCTTACTTTCTAAGAATTTTGAATGTCCTAATCCCAACACCAGGTTTCCTTGTTCCCTGGCAATCTACTCCTACTCTCACCAACAATCTTCTTTGCAATATTCTTAACACAACTATCAAATCTATTCCACGCATCATTTATGTCTCCCTCGATAATCCACACCGTCCTCTCTTTACAAACTCTTTTTCATTTTCCCCTTTCAATTTCCACCACTAAATTTTCGATTTTTCCCCAGTGTTCCTTCTATTTTTGTATATTTTTCTTCCGGTACACCACAACTCCATTATCATTAGTCTATGTTGTGTAGTTACACTCTCGCCTGGTATAACTTTACAATCTTTTTCTCGCATTACGCTGTCTCTCTTCCTAATAAAATAATCAATTTGTGATCTATTCCTCTCACTCTAATAAGTTATATAATGTTTTTCCCTCTTTCTAAAATAAGTATTAATCACAGCAATATCATACGATACTGCAAAATCTAGGATTCTTTCTCCAGCTTCATTTTTCCCACTAAAACCATACCCTGCATGTAAATTCATATCTCCATCTATTATCGCATCTTCATTGCCAGGTACTCCTTACATCACCTCATCCATCTCTCTTCAAAACATTTCCTTTCTATTTTATCACATCCTACTTGTGGTGCATATGCACTTATTATATTCAGATCTTTTTCCTCGAATATCAATTTTACTGTAATTCTGTCACTTTTCCTAGCTACTTTACTTTCCATCTTCTCATCCATTATTATCCTTACACCATTCTATGTACTAGACTTACCTGAGTATATTATTTTATATTCCCCACCTATTTCCCTCAAATACTCTCCTTTTCACTTAGTTTCCTGCACACAACAAATGTTAACTTTTCTCCTCTTCAATACTTCTACTAATTCTCTACTTCTACCAGTTAATGTTCCAACATTCCAAGTATCTATTTTTACTTTGTATCTCTCATTCTCCCTTATACACGAGTCCAGCCTAGAGTTATGTGGTGATGTCCCTACACCGTTGACACTACAAGCGTTGGGTAGACCTGTACACATGACTAGTGAAACAGCTACGGCACAAGTTATCCGACTGGTATCAAACACTTTATTCCTTAGACCTTCTTCGTTTTTAACTACTTTATTTCCTCTCACTTGTTGTCCCCGTTTACATCCGAGATAGGACAATTCGCCTAAGTTTTGTTCAGGACACCTCATACTATTTGACAAAAATTTTACGCCGGCTGTCAACCTGATGTAACCTCATTAGTTTCCTCTTACGACTGGCAGAAGGGCCGTGGAAGTATTCTCATCCCCTATCCACAGGGAAGTATCATTGTATATGTCAGTTACGAAATGTTTGAAATTAATACTCATTATTACTGCTATTAATTTCGAGCTATAATAACAGTATATACTAGAAACTACATAAAAACTTACTTATTATAATAAATATATTTCTAGATTCGATGCAAAGTTGAGAAGATATTAATTTTACCATGATGTGTTTTTTTTGTGTTTGTCGCAACTTTTTCTCAGATTTTACTGGACCGATGTACAATATGTCAAAAGATCAAAAATCGTGTCTAGTTGAAGACATGACCCTAAAAATTGAAAAAATTCTGTCGTTCTCCGTAAACGAAGGAAATTTACAAAAAAAATTACAATTTTTCAAATCTGCCGTAGTAAAAAAAAAAAATGCTATTTTTGTGTTAAAATTTTTGATTTACGATTTTCAACTTTAAATTACTATGACATTTCGAATAATGAATGTATCAACACAATTTTTTTTTCTAAAGACATCATATATACCTCTTTTATTAAACATACTTTTTATTTAAATTGGAGAATTTTCCTTTATACAGGGGACTTTCAAAATATGAAAAATATGTATAAAAAGTAGAACTTTTTCAACTTATCTTTTGAAAATGTTTTTGAAATACTGCGTCCTTTAAACTTATTTACAATAAATAATATAAATTTAAAATAAAAAATTTGTCCTGACACCTTTTCTATTATAATTATCATTGTAGTCTCCCACTGTGAGAAGAAATTTGTTATTCATGTTAATATTATTTTACTATGTGGTATTATTTGTGGCTGCGATTTATTTTTCCAACCCTCAATTATTTTACCTTTTTCAACGATACGTCAAATGACTACAATTCGTATTTAGTTGAAGATATTACCCTCAAAAATTGAAAAAAATCCCTTAATCAAATAAAATGTAGCTTATCCAGCTTTATCCATACAAACTATAAAAATCATTTATTTCTAATAGTTTTAAAGTATTTATTGTCGAGTAATTTTTTGATATGATAAAAGTATTCAACTACAAAATTAAATAATTTTACTTTGTAATTAATTAATTTTTTAACTTTGTCTATATGTGCAATTACTAATCTATAATATTCCAATTTTATTTGTAACATGTTATCTATAAATTATCTAAAGTAGTGGATTGTACACAGATTTAATACAATAAGACATAACATTACAATAATCAAAATGATAAGAGAAATATAAGGGTTTGGAAAGGTATATTGACCAAGTTTTAATAATTGGTGAGCACGAGTTTCTATTGGGGTTATAATAATCGAGAGTTTAGAAAAATCAAGCCAAGTAGTTATAAAATAAAAATGATTAAAATTTCTCCTTATAAAAGTGTTTTAAGTGAGACTGGTAAATCAACTTATGATTTATCAGTCAGTTAAAATAATAAGATTTTTGATAAAAAAGTGTTTGTCTTTATTACATATGTATTTCCATTTATCTGTTATAAAAACAATTTTTAGATCCATTCTTTATAACTTTTAGGTGTGTGAACTTTTTTTTTGCTAAATAGCAACATACATAATTAATTAGCTTATAAAATCGAAAATAATGTTAATAAAAAAATAATTGGTCTATAACAATTTTTGGATCAGTATATCAGAAATTATTAACAATTTAAAATAACGACTGGTGTTGAGGATTGAATGGCTGCTATTTTTATTATTAGTCACTTCCCTACCGTACTCTTCGTCCAACCAAAGTATAAAAATGAAAATAACTTCCAAAATACTCGTCTAAAAGTTGTAACGTTCTTTTTATTTTTATTATCTTAAGATAACTATATTTTATTTCTTTTTCTTTTTAAGATTCATTATAATACACTATAAATGATACTTTGCAATTGACACTAGGTTATTATATTCTCAGGGTGCCACCATTGTTAATAGGGCAATGGTCCTTTTTATTTTAGTTTATTTTATTGAAATAAGGTAATAATCACAAGATTTGTCGTATATTATGGTATTTATAAATTAATTGACAATATTGTTGAGTTCTTTGTACATTCTTTATCAATTTAATTTTCATGGTATCATTTTGCAACTGGAATTTATTTGTTGATTTTACTATCGTGGTGGTTGGGAGTTGAATTGTTTGCACGTCATCCTTTTGTCAGTACTTATCCATATTGGACAAGTACCATGACCGCCATAACCCACGATGGCTTAAATTTACATGCTCATTTTGATTTTTATAAAGAGTCAAAAATCATATATAAAAAATGACTTAATTTTTAATATCATATTAATTTCTAATTCAAAGATTTTTACAATTTATTATATATTACTAAAAAAAAAATAAACTAACTAACTAAAACAATATATCCTACCTAATAACCTTAAAAAGAATAACTCCCGGGCTTGTGATAAGCCGAATACAGTGATACCACTGGAAAGTTGTTATCGATCACTCATTTTCTTTATTAGATCATTTTCTATTTTATAAGATAGTTAAATATGTAAGTTGCCATTTAAAAAAAATGAATTTCACACCTCTGTAAGATATAAAAGAAGTACCTAATAACATATACCAAAACAAAAAATTTCAAAAACCTTATTATTTTAAGAGAAATTGAGTAGTTAAGACTTAATGAATCATCTTGTATACTTACGAATTTTAAGAAGAATAAAGAAATATCGTTTTGAATACAAAAGTATAAATAAATATTGCATTTATGTATATCGATGACAACACAGCGTCGCGGATTGTAATTCATTGTGTAAATAAGAGGATTTAAGTAAAACTTGAACACACGCACCATATTTTGAATTGTGTGATATTTAGTACGTGTATTAATAATTATACTATAATAGATCAACAGAAAATTTTTATTTTAACATATTTTATTGTAATTTATTGTAGGCAAATAGATTTAATCCCATTTTATTATTTTTATATAGTGAAACAATCATTAAATTGTCATCAGGTTTACAATCAGAAATAATGTCCCATTGCCAATTTCGATCATTTTCTAAAGCAGCATAACTTATTTTTGATTTTATTAGTTCCCTACAATTTTTGAATGATTCTTTCAATTCATTGTCTTCGAAAACTACACCATTACAATACATAATCATTTTCTCTATGATATTTTTCATACAGTCAATAGGTAAAGTAGAAATATAATACTGTTCAAATGCAAACGAAATTTTTTTTAAGAGTTGCTTAAAATCTTCTACAATTAAGACTAATATTTCAATATTAATTTTAATGTTAAATAAACTATATTTGTGTTCATAATCTTCAGTACACTCTAACACATCAAATCTATTCATAACTTCAATTTCAAACAAACAAAATCTGTCTATTAATGTTAAACCAACACTTTCGATAACATTTAAATAGTGAGTATAACTTTGGATAATATCGCTATTGTTTTTAAGACTTGGTTGAATGATTTGTCCTAATCTTTTACCAATAGTACCATCAATGGGTACACAAACATCTATTTCATTTTTTTGCGTCCATGTCCAAGGTTTTTTACATTCTCTTGGGTTGAATAACTTAGAGGCCACAACATCGGGATCGTCTAATATAGTGTTTTCGTTATAAGGCATTGGACAACGGGAAAAATTTTTTCCTGTGTAATAATCTTGTTTTAGTAATGTCAACTTTATGAATGCAGGATACTCCTTGAAGAGTTTATCCAATTTTTCAATTGTAATAGTTGTTTGATTTTCAATATTCTGGCTCAATTCATTAGTTGTATAAACAATGATAACATTTGAAATTATAATTCTCAGAAAAATAATATGCGTTTCGCTAAAATAATACATTTTTACCTGTTGTAATTATAGTTAAATTATTCAGTCACTTATTAACAAATCGTTAACTATGAAATAATAAATTAAAAAAAATTAAATTGTGTATAGTTTTTAATTTGATTTACTTTAGAACACAAAGCTCACTAAGTTTATCTTGAATGTGTTAAAATTTATATCTTTCAAGTGATCAATTATTTGTTTAAAAACAAATTGAGTTTTTTTGAAATATGTTTAAATCGTAATTACTTTATATTTAAACTTTCAAAAAGGTCATATTTGCTTCTGGTTTACTCAATAAAATACAAATAACTTATACTTGTTTTATACTATTTAAATAAAATTTAAAATATCTATTGTCGTAATATGCCCAATGATTTGCATTACGAACCTTACATTTATCTTTGAAAAATTTTAGATCTGTATTTTATATCACATGTAACAAACAAATAATTTACCTGTTATAATACTTATATTACTGTATTCTTTGTCTTATAAATTCTATACATCTCAACTCAATCATTATTAACCATGCGTGTTATCTTAAAATAATAATCATTTTATGTTCAAATTTAATACAGTAAATTGAAAATCATTAAAAACGCTAACATGTTGCTATATCATTTCTAAAAACAATTATTGTTTTTTTCTCCTGAATTTACAATGGATTCTTATATTTTTTTAACAATTTTATTTGATTAGTTATTTTAGTTAAAATAAATCATTAAAATTAATTCAGTTCATATTTCAATTGTAGAATCTTTTTAAACACCAAAAGTTACTAGGAAATTGTTACTATTATTTCTATTTAAGTTATCTATTATGATAAAAATGCAAAAAAATATTGAGCTTTTCTGATAAAATTAATAAATTAATTTTTTTTATTATAAACTTTCACAAAAAACAACTTTAAAGGATTAAAAATGACATAGCACAGTGGGGTGGCGGCACAGTGGGGTCGTGGCATAGTGGGTCCAGTATAGATGATATTTGACAGTGATTAAAATCACTATCATAAAAAACGCTTCGATGCAAATCTGTAAATAGTGTTTAATATAAAAAATAAAATTGTCAAAAAAGTAGGTCAAGTGAGAGCTGAGAAAATAAATGATAGCTACAAAAAAAAAACACATAGAAAAATAATATTAATATGAATTTCTTCTCATGAGAAGAGACTACAGTAGTGGGATCCTTAATATTTATTGAAGTTATTGAATCTAAATGAGATAAAAATCAAATGAGTTAAACATTTTCTTCTAACTCAAAAAGAATTAAGAAAAAATTCAGTGCCACAGGCGTGAAAGACCCAAGTGTTACCATCTCAGACACCGTAAGTCGCATTCGTCACTTAATAAAAATGGAAATTTAGCTAGTTCAAATTTTAAAGTTATTTTTCTCGACTTCAAAGAAACAAACAAATTTAAATATGTTTAACTTTTTATACTATGTCAATTAGATTGATATAATATTTATGAAAATCAGTGTAATCCCTTATAATAAAATAAAATACAAAACCAAGAATTTTAACACAAAAATAGCATATTTTTGAATACAGAAGCTATTATTACCATGAAGACAAAGTTAAATCCGAATTTTTTTTTTTTTAATATTAAAGTATATTACTTTAATATATATAATAATATATAAATTATTTATATATAAGCTTTATATATAAAAGTGTCAGTATTTCCGAAACACTTTCAAAAATTAAGTTGAAAAAGTTCTACTTTCTATATGCATTTTAAAGATTTGAACCCCCCGTATTAAGGGAACTGGTCCGATTTAAAAAAAATATGTCAAATTAAAGAGGTATATAAATAGTATTTCTCATAAAAAAATTGTATTGATCCATACAAATTTCAAAAAGTTATAGCGTTATAAAGTTAAAAAAACCCAGCACAAAGGGGTCGCAGCAAAGGGGTGACATGGCATAGTTGGATCAAGTATAATGATATCTGACAGTGATTAAAATCACAATAAAAAACAACGCTTTGATGCAAATCTTTAGATAGTGTTTAATTTTAAAAAATTGGTGGATTATTCCAAATGTTTTGTACGAGGCAGCTAGATCGTATGACGGCTAGTTGTGCACCGCACTAGAATGCCGTTTTACCTTAAGCCTGTTTAATAAAACGTTATTATTGATGCGATAGTGGGTCACCTAGGAGATGATGGCTAACTATACATCCAATAAGTAAACGAGAGTAGACAATAATTAAATAACAAATAATCACATATATTAGAAATTCCTCAGAGAGTATCATAAATTTAAGGGGTAACGGGAAGCCCTTAAACCCAACCGCGAAACGGCATAAAATAAAATAGTTAATCTCAATTAAAACAAACAATAAATAACATTAAAAAATAATATAAAACTCAGCTGTATAGATGACGTTGTTGATAGTGATGAGTGGACTGTATGAGATCTTGTGGTAATGGTGTCGAACATTTGAGTATGACGAGTCAGAGTGTAAATCCAGACACGTAATGACAGATGAGAACAGACTACGGCAATGATAATGTTTAGTGATGGCCAGAGCCCAATCACTAGTGGCGTGCAAGGGCACGTAAACTTTGAGCACAAAGGTGCAATAAACAAATAAAAGAATAACGGCGTATAATGGTCGAACAATTTACCATTCAAGCGAAGGCGCTTGCAACAGAAAACAGAAAAGAGTGATACAAAAAACAATTGACTGTGTAGCGTTACGCTACGGCTTTATCATTGGTTGACAGTTGCAAGAAAGTTCGCTGGACAGCGCTGTTTGACAACCCTTATTCAAAAAATGTAAAATGTAAAAATGTAATTTTCGAACAATTAAACGAAGATATGATTATGGTAAAGAGAAGAGAGAATACTGAAGACAGAGAAACAAATAAACTCGCAGCGCAAACTGAAAGGATAAAAAAATCGAAGATTACTCGTGGGCCTCCATTAATTTTCGACTATGAAAATCTTGAACCTTTACCAGAACTCAAACTAATTTCGGAGATTAATATTAACAACACTACCAAAAGAAATCTTACCCAACCGGACGATGAAGATATCAACTTGATACGGAAAAAATTGGCAAACGATATTCCATATAATAAGGACAACAACAACAAAAAAATATAACAAATTATTAAAAAAATAAGCAAAAATATTGGGAAGAAGATTAGGTGTAAAACCAAAGTCAAGCGGCAACTTATTGAACAGGTACTTATTCAAAAAGGCTATGAGATTCCAAGCAGAACTTTATTGAAGAAATTAGCTGCTTCATTTTAATATTATAATTATTTTGTAAATATGAACAAAGGGGTAAAAATTCATTTATCTCATTATTTAAAAAAAAAAAAAAAAAAAAAATTTTTAGGGAGGTACAGTTGTAGCGTTACGCTACGGCTTTATCATTGGTTGACAGTTGCAAGAAAGTTCGCTGGACAGCGCTGTTTGACAACCCTTATTCAAAAAATGTAAATTAAAGTATTTATTTATTATTTTTTTATTTTTTATTATATTTATTGTAATGATTATTTTATATACCAGTCTTAACGAGAACTCGAAAATAGGAAATTAGAATATTCTTTTGTTTTGGAGGGTTTTTTAAAAATAAATAATATGTGGGCAATTGTGTTCTACACTACTCCGGTGGTGACGGGTAGCATAAAGTACACCGTCACAACTTGTATAATTATTCTCTAAAAATTCTAATAGTTTTTTATTTTAGTTCTTTTATATACATGTCGTTTTACTAGTGATTGCAGTATTCATTGCCAACTAGTCTTCATTTAATAATTCATCATTTCATTTTTTTCCATCGAGTAAGTTTTCTTTATTTTTTCCTTATTACATATATAATTTTCAACGGTGTTCGTAACTAAGTGTTACCAACCGTGATCAAAATTATATATTTCTTTTCTTTAAAGGCTAGTCATAATCTTCAACGGTGATTATAACCATCGTGTTATCAACCGTGATCAAGATTGCTAGTTTTTCTTAAGCTTTCCTCCTTAATCCTTTTGCAACGGTGCTTGTAATAAACGCTTTACCAACCGTGATCCAAAGGGTTGGATTCCACCACTTACATAAGATAACTATATTTTTGTAAAAATCCTCTTAACCTTCTGCAACGGTGTTTGTAACTATTCGTTATCAACCGTGATCCAGAGGGTTATACTTCTACCTCACCCCAAATTAAATAGTTTCTAAAATAAGACTGATATAGTAGTTAGTTTATTAATATATGTATATATTCATTTTTATATAAAAATAAATCAGAACAAATCGATTAGTCGAACAATTTGTGTTGTATTTTCATATTTAAAGAGAACAAACGTAGAAACGTTTCAACTGACTGACTTACACAGATATAGATAATAAACGTTTATACAGTTTATTATCTATATCTGTGCTGACTTACGACAATGAACTGTACACGGATGAAAACCGACACGGAGGTCATCGATTTGCCGTGATAGGTGGGCAAGGGGGTGAGTAAAGCAAGATGCTGGTGATCAGCTGTCCCACGAAATAATATAATCAATGATCTTTATAACAACTGGTCAACTAGATCCTTCTAAAGGCGTTCTGTACCATACACCAAAAGCTACATGATATGCTATTTCCTTATTAATATCCTGAATGAAAAAGAAATTATTAAAAAATATTATTTCTCATAAAAAAATTGTGTTGATCCATACACTTTTCAATAAGTTATAGCATTATAAAGTTAAAAATGTAAAAAATAAAATCGAGAATTTTCACACGAAAATAACATTCGGTAGCCATTTTCATCGTGAAGACAAAATAAAGTCCTTTAATTTACATTAACTTTAATTGAATTTAAGATATATATAAAAGTGTCAGACTTTCCGGACACTTTCAAAAGTTAAGTTGAAAAAGTTAATTTTTTGTAAAAAAGGTTATCATTTTAAATCCCCCCTGTAGGCAGATAAAGAGTCAGATTTATAAAAAAAAATATAAAAAATGATAGGTAAGAACATCAAGCATCTACAAAAAAAAAATTATATTGATATGTTCATTTTTAAAAAAGTTATGGCAGTTTTAAGTAAAAAAAATTGAAAACATTTCGAAAATTAGCGATTTTTAAATTTGTAATTTTTTTGGAGGTTTCCCCCATTTACGGG